AATTCAGTAACATGCAGGGCAAGAGCATGCTTTTTAAGACTGATAATCTGAATGTCTTCCATGAGCTGAGGAGGTGAAAGACCTGTGTGTACTAGTTGTTACATGTGAGCCACCAATGTCTTCAGCTGTGAAAATAGTCTTGGACAGTGTCAGGGAAGATATTTCCAATAGTAATACTGTTGTCCAAGGCAGTGGTGAGAGCTCATCTGGAGTACTGGAGACCGGTCTGATGAGCCAAGATCAAGAGAGACAAATTCTAATGGGAGCAGGTGCAGAGAGAGGCAACTAGGGTGCTTAGAGAAAAAGAGACTAAAATGACTTGGCTTGTATAGCTTCACAAATTAAGGCTGGGAGCGGACACGACTGTTGTATGTAAATGTATCAGGTGGGTAAACATCCAGAAGGGAAAAGAAATTTAGCATCAGTGCAGGAGCAAATGGGTCTCTATTGGTAGGAGTAATTTTGGAATGGAGATATTGAAGGATTTTAAGCACCCAAGAAATTAAGTTCTACAGTGGGATTAGTGGGGAAAAATTCTCGATTAGTTGTAAAATGGGGTTTGATCCCTTTATGAAAGGGATTATGCGATGGGGTTGCCTGCAGTAGTAGGGGGCTGGACTGGATGACCCAGTATGCTCCTCTGTTTTACATTCCTAATTCAGGATGGACTGAAATACCAAGTCTTTCCTTAGCCAGAGGGTCTGTGGTACACTACGGTTTGGGATTTAATATGTGATTTCCCTGTGTGTGTGCACTTGCTTGTCCGCACCTCTGCCTTTGTGCGTAACGAACGTGGCTATAAATTAATAACATGTGAAAGGCGGTTTGGGTTTGGGAGGTAACTTCTGGCCTTCAGGGGCTAGGAGGCTGCAATACAGGTCAGGTACTATCTCTGTGGGTGGACACAGTCAGGTTTGATGTCACTGTCAGGACTGACTCCCTTGTGGAGTTTTGTGCCATGCTGAGCTGGGAGGATTCAATCACTGGCCTTAGGGATCTTGCCTTATATTTCCTAATCCTCAGCCGTCATGTTCAATTATGTGGCCAGAGGTTGGTTCTCACAGTGCAGTTCATTTGGCACTTGCGTTTATCTATCTTGGGACATTTTTAATGCTCAGAAAAGGCAAGATTGTGAGAGTTTTTTTAAAGCTTCCTTGGTACAGCTCTGACACATGCACCCTAGTCCTGACCCAGAGCATACCAGCAATTTAGTACCAGGTCCTCAGGCAGCTCTACCAGCATATTTCCCTGCTGTACAGCAGCATCCTTGAAAGCTGATGTCTTGCCCACTTGTCCTTAGACACCCTGCACAGGCCCTGGAGGGTTTCTTAACAGGTGCATGAGCATTATGATCACATCAAGTCAGGTCTCAGTCTTTTATTCCTGGGGTCTCATCTCAGGGCTGCTCAGCCTGTTCCCTAGAGCTCTGGATCCTCATGTTTCAGACTTGGTATGTGCCATTTAGGTCTCTAAGCACTTTGAAGGCTGCTTCCTGCCACAATGTTCCTTCCCAGTGGAGGGTCCCTCTCCAGGCTTGACACTGTGTTGGGGTGTGGTGACATTGTCAGTCTGCATTTAGCCCTGGACAAGTGTGGCTTGTCCTTCCATCATCCCTGGGTATGTTTTAGTTGTGGGACCCCCATGAAAGCCTGCCAGCAAACTTCCATCTGACCTTGCATTTCTGCCCTTTGCTATTAATACGTGGATGCTCTATATTGACTCCTTCTAGCTGGTCCTCCATTCTGTGAGCGACTGCCGAAACCACGTGTGTTGCCAATGAATGCATCATTGCTTTAATAATATCCTGCATCTCTTTCTCACTGGAACACAGGCAAGCCAAGCTGATGAGCAGATAGTTTAAGATGAACTGTAACTTATACTGTCATGGAGAAGCCAGTTGGGATTTTATTTTGTGTCCTTAAGCTAACTGCTCTGGATATGCAGGCAATTACAGAACATGTGGAAATCAAATGCGTGTCTCTTCTGGGTCCTTGCACTTCTTGGATGCATGCACTGGGATCAGAGACATGTTCATCGCAGGAGTTTAGTTCAGTTTTTTTTTTCCCCTCTTAAGCATTTGAGGAACAAATAAAGTAGGTCCACGAGCTTCCATCCCAGAGGAGCTTTCTTCTGGAAGAATAAGTGCTACTTAAGCCTGAACACAGACCCCTGTTTGGCATGGGAGAGGTGGGGAGGTCTTCTCCTTCCCCTTCTAGACTTTGCATAAAATCCCCTCTTGGTTTAGTAAAGTGATGAAGTTTCTTTCCTGAAACCCACCAGTGCTGCCCCTGGGTCTCTTGTGGTGATTTTCCCTGTCGGGTAGAGCTCCTATGAGAAGCTGACCTGTATCTTTGTGCTCCAGGTAAGGTGGTCTTTGGCCTCAGTCACTGAGAAAGGAACATCCAACTGGGCTGGTGTTTTGTGGGCGATGGAGCACAGCCCCTAGCAGAAAGTGAGTTACTGGGACTCATGCTAAGGATGCATGTGAATGAGAGAATAGAGAGGTGACTACCGCACTGAGTCTCTCTGGAAGCTACCAACAGACCAGGACTCAAACCTCTGAGGCTCCAGCGAGCTGTCTGCTTGTGGCCCAGCCATATGGCTGTTATGAGTGTGGGAAGTAGCTTTGCTCACCAATCTACATACCCGGTTGAAATTGCTTCACTGCTGAAGGCTTCTATAAAAAGTGGAAGGTGTTTTGCCCTTACTCATCCAGTGGGAAGTTTCCTCCTGTTTCCAGTGCAGGAAGCATCACATGGGGCAGAAATAGTCCTGTTGTTTTGCAGAGGGGTAGTGCTAGGGACTAAAAATGGCATGTAGAGCCGGTCCATTCTGGGTCAGAAATTCCAGGTCAGCCTAGGTTTGTGTGCAGGTCTGTTGAGTGGCTTGTGCTCTGCGAGCTCGTGGGTGAAGCTCCAGTTCCTGGTAGATAAGGGTCCATTTCACCTCATCTCCAAAATCATCATCGACATGAACTAGTTCTTCTTTGGCCATGTCAGGACAGAGGTCAAGGCCAGAACGGGCCAGGGAGAATACATTTACCTCTCTTTGACTTGGGGTCCCTCCAGGTGAGGGTTGAGCCCGTGAGCAGGAGTTCAGGCCCATCGGAAGCATGCCGTGCTGGTGTTGCTGCTGCCTGTGTTGTTCCTACCATGTGGTTTAACAGGGGGCCCCATTATCTGGGGCTGTCCATCTGTCACCTTCCACCAGCTCTAATATTTACTAAATAAAAATTCAGTGCTGACAGATCTATTTCTGTTTTCATTCTCCATAACATGCCTGCCAGAATGCTCCAGGCATAGGAGGAATTCATAATAAAGACACGCTTTACAAACTCTGCCTGACACCACCTCACCTACAACACCCCCCAGCCAAGGAAGAGTAAGACCCTGCCTAGTTCCCCCTGTTAACTGGTTGGATAAGCATCATTCCTGCCCTGTGGAGTTGATATAACAACCAACCAAGCCACCCTGCAGCTTCAGCCTCCCAATGAAAATCTAAGCTGTGTCCAGTAATGGAGTGGGACAGGGTCTATATAGATTGCCCAGTGCTTGGTAAGGAAGAGGTTAACCTCTGGTCGGATAGGGACTTGAAAACTGCATTCAGAGAGCTGACACTGACTGTTGATATGACCGTGGTCAAGTCATATATTCCCTCTGTGCTTTGGCATCAGCACAGTGGTGTCAGTGGTAGGTCCTTCCCTCACAGGGTGCAGTGAGGATAAATCCCTTCAAGACTTTGAGGTACTCTTGCGCTATGGGACAGGGCAGGAGAATTAGATGCTCACCCTGTGGGACTGTCTTCAAGCAGGTTGATCCATAAGCCAAGTGGCAGATCCTCTCTCCATCTGCAGGTGGGGACACTGATTCAAGGCTTCATGTGGGCAAGTGGCCTTTCTGCTGCTGTGCTCCTCTTGCTGATGTGGGGCAAGTTGAGGAGCTCCCAGAGAAGTGGGGCCAGCAGCAGCTGTGCTGGCAGGGAGGGAGAGGGGCTGGGGGGGAGGTTAAAATGAGGGCATGTAGTGGGGAAAATGGGAGGCCACAAGAAGGTGCCTCATCCCTTTCTACCCCGAGGTCCCCAAGCTGCTCAGGTTCATAGAGCCCCTTCATCTTCCCAAAGCTCCTTCAAGCTTTTATTCCCTTAGTTGCTACTCCTCAGGGGCCCAGACCCCCATCCTAACTACCGCAAGCTCTCCATTGCCCCTGCTAGCTTCCCAGCTGCTTCCCCCCCATTCCTATCTCTTAGTTACTTCCAGCTTTTTTTTTCTCCACCAAAGTATTCATTAGTTCCCACTAATTCCTTTTGAAGCTCTGAGCCCTGATACTATGTGCTAGCTTTGGGTCTTGAGAGCAGCATTGCCTCTGGCTGGCCAGTTGGACTGGAAGACTCCCTCCCTCTCTTGCACCAGGTGCAGGGACCAAATGACCAGCTGTCATGGGCTCAGCCACCAAGTAGTTTAACGTGACTCAGGTGCTTTTTTTGCAAGAATTTTGCTCATGATTTCTGTTTTACTGATGTGCCAAGTGAGATGCAACAGGGAATCAACTTGCCCAAGGACGCACTGTGCCCCAGAGGCAGAGTGAGGAACACAAGCCAGGACGTCGGCCTTCCAGCTGGTCTACATTAACCGCTAAGCCCTGCATATCTTCCTTGGTTTCTTAGTGAAAGATTTAAGAGTGGGAGTGGAAGGAAACTAAAGGAGATAGTTTTACCTGCAAAGGATCCAAGTAACAGAAATAAAAGTGATGCAAAAAATTGCTCATTTTCCTGGTGTTATGAAAACCACATAAGTTTGGGAGCATGGGGATAGAATATGCAACCGGGTCTAATCTCCATACCTTTTCCTTTCAGGGCAGAGCAAGGGGGTGGGTCTGTCTAATGTAGGGACAGCTTTCTGGCTGCTGTCCACTGCCTGGGTCAAGCAGTGCGTCACCTGTGTGGAACAGGCCAGCTTGACCTGGTTTGCTAAGGGCTGAGCTTTTCCTTCCTCTTCACAGACACATAGAGAACTGGAAGAACTTGCAGACGCTGAATGCTGTAGACATGGAGCTGTACACGGGACTCCAGAGGCTGTGAGTATGACCCACATGTGTGAGAAGGAGGCCTGAGGGGTGGGACTAGGCAGCTATTTTTGGCCTGGTTGGAAGGCTCCAGCAAGAAAGTGCTGCTCCTTTTGTCCTAGTACCTTTGACCCCTTGATATTTTGAGCATGTTCAATGTCTGGCTGCTGTGGTTAATGGTTTACTGCCAGGCAGCCCAAAAATGAAGAACCCCAACTTTTAACTTTGGATACTTTTCAGTCCTCATTGGCTCCCTGAGCAGGCAGGCTTGAAGCTCACCACAACTCTGCCAGCTCTTAGTAATCCTGACTTATCTCACCCCCTGCTGTTCTAGTCCTGGGCCCATGCACTGCTCTGTAGATACACAAAGATGCAAAGCACCAGCTGTTTCTAACTATTTAGGTACTTCCATGGCTCTCATCACCATAGTACCCAAGTGCTTCACAATCATTAGAGTGTGTATCTGCATGGTATCCTGGTGAGGTAGGAAAGTATGATAATCCCCATGTTGCAGACAGGAAACCAAGGTACACAGAAATGATGTGCTTTGCCAGGGACTCAAAAAGTGTGGCAGAGCCAGGAACACAACCCAGCTTTCTCAAATCCCTTCTAGTGCCTCAAGCTGCCTGCTCCTCTCTTAAGCAGATGAATGGTGTTGTAGCAGACAATTGTTTTATAATGCACCCAGCATCCACAAGGGGTTAAGTTGAAGCTGTCCAGGCCTATTTCACTGGGAAGCCTGCATTAGCTACCATTTGACCCCAGGCCAGGAAAGGAGAGAGTATATTGCTGAGCATCCTGTAAAATGAGCCCCTGCTAGTAGTGTATTTAGGAAATCCACAGTGTAAGCATGCTGTGTTGCTCGTTCTCATTTAATGTAGGAAAGCTGCAATGGAGCCAGGTATTTCTGTTCATAAAGAATATTAATAAATCATGGCTATGGTGCTGATTTAGCTTCTCCAGAGCGACAGAGGAAGAGGAGCCTTCTCAAGTGTCCTTGTCCCTGCTAGGAAAAGGCTTGTTTTTCCCTGTGTGCTCAAAGCAAAGGGATTTTTCCTTCAGTAAAGTGTACACGGGGTTCCCCAGTGGATAAAAATGCCCATCACACATTTCTATAGTAGTTGGCCTGGGGGACTCAGGGAACAGGAATAGCAAGGGATGCGGAGGTTTCAGGTCTGGCTTGAGGCTCGTTGGCAGAGATGTGTTGTGGGAAGCCAGGTCTGCAATAGCAGGGAAGACTGCTATCTGAGACTGAGATACAGTGGTCATGCTATTGGGGGAAAAGGCCAAGATTGCAACAGTAGAGGGGCTGAACATCTGGGACTGAGGGGGAAGTCTGCACAGTGGGGTCTTGCATTTTGCCTGTTCTAGGATAGGGCAAAGTTTATCGCATTAGAAGCAACCAAGTTCCTCTTGATTTGCAACCTTACCCAGGTTATGTACAATGAGAGATTAAGGCTTCCTCTTCTCCCCATACTCACTGACTCCCAAAGCATCCACTCCGATGCTGTCTCACTTGGCCTGTCGCTCATTTGTATGGGCGTCTCCTTAAGTTTAGCAAAGGGCTTTGAAATCCCAGTGAGCCTCAGTCTTTTACTCTATTGCTGTCCTTTTAAATCCTCTTCCAGGACAATCAAGAACTCAGGACTTCGAAATATCCAGCCACGGGCATTTGCCAAGAACCCTCATCTGCGTTACATGTGAGTAGTTACCCCCTGACGCCAGTTCTGTTGCATCTCTTTGGAAAGGTTATTGCCAATCCTGTTACACATCAGGGTGAACCAGGGAGGGCAAGTGTGGAGATGCAGGGGATGCAGTATGCAATAAATAAAGGTAAATGAGCATGGGGAGAAGAAAACAGTGAAGGAGCCAGTAAAGGAGAGAAGGGTGCTGACAGGGGGGTTGGAGAAAGTGCAAACTCTCAGCAGGTCTTTCCTGCTGGGCAGTTGACAGATTAAGGGGTCTCATAACAGGGCTGGCTTTGATTGAAGTTGTAATGAGCACTCACTTGCTTAGCAGCCCTGAGGCAACCAGTGGAAGTTTGCCTTTCTGTGGAGTTCAGGGGTCTGTGGGTGGAGGCAGCAGCATGCCCCAGCACACAGCCTGAGCCCGCACAGCTTGTTAACTTCTAACAAACAGGGGTTTGCAGACACACATCTCCCTTCCTTGCTTCAGGCACATGGCTGACAGCTATGCTCCTAATTATTGACTTGTTAAAATGGCATCTGAGTGGGCCCGGCCTGCGATGCTTTTGTCCGGAGGTTCAGAACATAGAAGCCTAGGATCATAGAAAAGTTGGGCTGGAAGTGACCTCCTGAGGTCATCGAGCACAGTGGTTCTCAACCTATTTTGGACCAGGACCCATTTGTAAACATCAGTGGTCAGTCCTGATCTAGTGCCCCTCACCCCCGACCCACTTCCCCCCGACCCCAGTGTGCGGGGCAGGGGGGCCCTAAGCAGCCCCTCTCAGGCTGGAACTTTGCAAGCCTGCAAGGGGAAAGCCATGGTTTCCCACATTTTCCTCCTTCAAGGGAGAATCCACTGTTAAAGTTTGATCCATTTTTAAAGTTTTCTCGTGAGCCTTTCATATATTTTTGCAACCCATTTTTGGGTCATGACTCACAGATTGAGAATTGCTGATCTAGTCCAACCCCTGCTCAAGGAAGGATTATCCCTGACTCTGCCAATTCAACCATTCAAGTGTTTGTCTCATCTGCTCTTAAAAATTTCCAAGGATGGAAATTGCACATCCTCTCTGGATAGCTTGTTCCAGTGCTTAACTCTCCCCATAGTGAAAAGTTCTTACTACCCATCCTAAATTTCCCTTGCTGCAATTTAAGACCATTCCTTCTTGTCTTGTCACAGAAAATAATCTATCTCCATCCACTCTGTAATTGCCCGTCAGGTATTTGAAAACTGTTATCAAATCCCCC